TTGATTGCGGATCCAAGAAGACAAAATCCTTGACAACTTCAACTTTTTCTCCACTTATCATGTTACCTGTTGGTCCGGTTGTGAGGATTTGGGTCTTCTTTACATTGAGTTGCAATCCATACTGCAGGCCATATTCTTGATCATCAGCAAGTGCTTCAAGTCCTCCTCACGTTCCGAAAGCAAAGTTGTGCCATCTGCATATTGCAGGTTGTTCATAAGCCTTCCTCTAATTCTGACGTCACACTCTTCTTCCTATAATCCAGCCTCTCTGAAGATTTCCTCAGAATATACATTGAACAAATAGGGTGAAAGGAAACGAGCCTGACTCGCACCTTTCCTGATTTTAAACCACGCAGGATTCCTTCTTCACTTGAATGACTGCCTCTGGATCCATGTACAATTCCAACATGACCACAAGGACGTGTTCTGGAATTCCCATTCTTTTCCAGGCTAGCCACAGGTTATTATGGCCCACACAGTCAAATGCCTCTGCATAGTCAATGAAGCACAAGTAAACATCTTTCTGGTCTTCTCTGCTTCGATCCAAGACCCATCTGACATCAGCAACAACATCCCTTGTGTCATGTCCTCTTCGAATTCAGCCTGCTCTGGCAGCTCCCTGTCAATGGACGGCTTCAATGCTGATGGATGATCTGAAGCAAACATTTACTTGTGTGCGATATCAATGATATGGTCTATAGTTTGAGCCTCCTGGTGGTGCATCTTTCTTTAGAATGGGCACAGACACGGATCTCTTTCAGTCGATTGAATTAAGGTGTTGGTGAAGAATATTGCAAGTTCAGTGGACGGCCAGAAGAACAGACAAATCTGTCTTGGAGGAAGAGCAGTGAGATTGCTTCTGAGAAGTAAAGATGGGAACCTTAGGCTGACACACTGTGGATCTGCTATCAAGAGAAACTCAACGCAGAAGGTAGTTGAGAAAATGGAAGACTTTTTAACATCACGATTCAACAGTGGGCTCAAACATAACAATTGTGAGGGTGGCACTTTACTGGGCAGTGGTTCGTCCTGGTGTTCATTGGATGGCTATGAAGTTGCTCGAAGTTATTCTTTAAATTTTCTGTTATTGTTTCCTTGAAGTTCCACCAGTTTTTCTTTAAGTATTTTGTTGCAGGATTATTTAATGTACACAAGTTTATTACTGTGCTGTCATTGTGACATGTATCTCTTATCAAATGACTTTCTGTAATTCTCTTCTCAATGAATTCTACTATTTCTTTTTAAATTTTAGTTATTTTATTGGGGCTCTCACAGCTCTTATCACTATCCATCCATCCATTGTGTCAAGCACATTTGTACATATGTTGCCATCATTTTCAAAATATTTTCTTTTGACTTGAGCCCTTGGTATCAGCTCATTGCCGCCCCCCCTCCTGCCTCCCTCCCTCATGATCCCTTGATAATTTATAAATTTTTTTTTCATGTCTTACACCCACCACTGTCTCCCTTCACCCACTTTTCTGTTGTCTCTCCCCCTATGTGTGTGTTATATGTCAATCAAATTCTACAATTTTTCTATATTTTATTACTTTATTATTTAGCCATTTTCACTTTTAATCATTTTAGATAAACTTATCTTTTATGATTGCATCTTGATTTTTGTTTCCACTCAAGAATTTTTATTTTTAAGAGAAATTTCCCTTCACTTTATTGTTGTGATTGAGGAGTTGGGTTTTCCAGTGCAACCTTGCTTATTCTGTCTAATGGACTAAGAGGGGCACCTGACCCAAGCCATGTTATCTTCAATAGCTTCTTTTACATATGAAAGTTGGACATTGAATAAAGAAGACTGAAGAAAAATTGATGCACTTGAACTGTGGTGCTGGAGAAGAATATTGAAAATATTATGGACTGCGAAAAGGACAGACTAATCTTATCTTGGAAGAAGTCTGGTCAAAGTGTTCCTAAGATGCAAGGATGGTGAGACTTCATCTTACGTACTTTCAGCATGATTTCAGGAGAGACCAGTCCCTGGAGAAGGACATCATGTTTGGTAAAGTGGAGGGGCACTGAGAAAGAGGAATCTCCCTGAGGAGATGGGTTGACAAAGAGAGTGGCTGCATGGAGGGGCTCAGGAACAGGAAAAAAATAAGAGGAGAGCACAGGATGGCGCAGTGTTTCGTTCTGGTATGCATAAGGGGTCGAACTCAATGGCACCTAACAACAACAACAACAACAACATCTTTCCAGTGATTGCTACACTTTCTATGTGATATTACAATTTCTGAATTCCGTGGTCATTTTTAACTATTCTAGTTCAGCTTATCTCTTATGATAAAATTTTATTTTTATTTTCACTTAAGGTTTTTTAAAAAATTTGTTTGCTTGTTTGTTTTTAAAGGAATTCTCCTTGCCTTCATTTCTTGGCATGACTGCTGTGTTGGCTGTTTCAGCGTTTTGTTTTATTCTCTCTAATGAAATTTTAGGAAATTATTTTCAGTTCTCATTCTCTCACCTTCCTTCTCTGGAAAAAATGAATGACCAAAAAAAAAGCGCTAGTTCATAATTTTCTAAGAAATCTGTTTTGATTTGTGTAAATACTTTGATCTCTCATCTTGAATTTGTCATCTATGGGTAGTTTAGGTTTAGGATAAAAGACTCAGATTTTATTATAAAATAAGTGAATTAAAATAATAATATAAAAACAAAAAGAAGTGAATTCAGAAAATTGTTCTTACTGCCCTGCATCAATGTTTGGTGATAAGCATTTATTGGCCTGACTCTAGTGATCTTTTCTTGCAGATAGGAATATTAACTTTTCAGACTCAGAATTTCTTCATGGAATGTCACGATATGGATTCAATGTCGTTGTGAGTAGAAGGTTGGGCAAGAGGAGAGATGTGCCTGATTCAAGGAATACGATGTATGTTCTTCCTACTAATTTTGTAAATAAGCAATTACTGGCCAGATTTTAATTTTAGCATATTAGACATCGCATATTAGAGATTATTTTATTTAGGATTTGGAATCAGACAATCTCAAGGTTTTATTTCAAGATTTTAGAACTTATATTGTAGAGGCTATCTTCCCTGTTGGCACAGAATGTGCTCCAAAAGTTCAGAAAATTAAGTAACCCACAATATATTTTTAAAAAGAACCCAGAATTCTTCATATCAAGTATATTTCAAACATCTCTCTTTTTTCTTCTAAGGTTACTATTTTCATCATTCCTTCAATTATTGATGTTAATGAATTTTTAACATCTGATAAATCTCAGCCAAAGAGATGCATATCCTTCCTTTAATAAAGGATAAATACTTAAGTTCAGGAAAACAGGCAGTTTCTAGTGGCATAGAAACAAAAGCCTGGTACAAGGAAACAGGAGAAAGGGGGCTCATGGTGCCTTGACAAGCTGCAACACAAACACTGGAATCAATAAATTTCCTAGCTAGATAATATCATTTATCCTATGGCTCACCAAAGAGCAGTAATACAATATATCTAGGTAATACTAAGAGAAAAAGTTTAAATTTATATAAACCACAGAGTAATAGAATAAAGTGAATTAGGAGAATTTGTTTCTCAACTTAATTTTTAACTCCCACAAAGGAAGGTCAATAATTTTGAGTACCTCTAAGTTATGACTTTCTCCCCAGGTCATAATTTCTTTCCTCTCTAAATCTCGTCTTCTAAAATAGTTAGGCTGCCTTTATTTCCTTCTCTATCACATTACTATTTGTTAAAAACAGATATGACAAAAATAATTTATAAATTATCAGGGGTTCATGAGGGAGGGGGAAAAAGGGAGGGAAGGGAAGATATGAGCAGATACCAGGGGCTCAAGTAAAAGGCAGATGTTTTGGGAATGATGATGGCAACAGATGTGCAAATGTGCTTGACACAATGGCTGTATGTGTGGATTGTGATAAGAGTTGTATGAGCCCCCAATAAAATGATTTTTTTTAAAAAAGCAAAAAGTATAGCTATCTAAAGAGTGAAGCAAACGGTATGAAAACATTCATGTATATAATAATATATATAATTGATTTATGCAAAAACAGTTTTATTCAAAATACAGTTTAACTGCTAAAAGTCACTAGCTAGAGTTCAAGTAGATTTTAAGTTACTATTTTACATTTCACTTTCCCCACATAAGCACCAATAGTTGGTATGACTATCCTTTCCTTTTTAGTTACTGTAATAGGCAAATACTAATATCATTGTCTTTTTAATTTGTATTGTCCTGATAACTAATAATGTTGAACATCTTTTTATGACATCTACTTACCATCTGTATATTTTATCTGCTGATGTTCAAATATTATGTATATTTAATTGGATTGTCTGTTTTCTTATTTTTATTGAGTTATGAGTTTTAAAATGTACTCAGGTTTGCAAGACCTTTATTAGATAAATGATATCAAAGATTTTCCCCAGTCTGTGACTAAGTTTTTATTCTTTATAAAGAACCCTTTGGTCAGTAGAAGTTTTAAATTTTGATAAGGTCTAATTTTGTTTACATAATTTTGGTTTTTTTCCCACTTTGTTTTGCCTAATCTAAGATTAAATTATTTCTCCTATTTTTCCTTCTAGAGAATTTATACTTCTGTCTTTTAAATTTAGATCTATGGTGTATTTTGAGTTAATTTTTATGCATGATATGAGGTATAGCTAGAAATTCATCTTTTTTAATGTGGATATCCAGTTATTTCAGGACCATTTACTGAAAAGACTATCTCTTATATAGTGGATTGTAAAAAAAAAATCCATTTCCCATCTATGTAGAACCAATTTCTGAATTCTAATCTGTGTCATTGATTTGTCTATTTTGAAGCCAATATTAAGCTATCTCGATGGTTATAGTTTTATCATAAACCTGGAAATCAGATAGTGTTAGTCTTCTAACTTATTTTCATTGTTGTTTTTATGTTCTTTGAATTCCTGTATAAATTTGAGTATCATCAGCCAGTTTTTACAAAAGAGCCTGCGATAATTTTTCTTGGAAATGCATTGAGTCTGATGTGAGGAAAACTGACTTCTTAACAATAGTGAGTCGTTGAACCTTTACACGAGTGTAAAAATGAAGTGGCATAAGTACTCATCCAACTTTACGCATAGGAAAATCACTGGCATCATTACCAGAGCTTGTTCTTATGAGGTGAAGTTCAGACGTACTTCTGCGCTCAGCCTTCCTGTGGCACTCTCTACTTCTACTGGGCTTGTTAATTAATTGCAGTGGCCAAATAGAACTTGCAGACCATACTCATGATTATGGAGTTTATTAGAGAAGAAACAGGCTACAATTGAGGATTAGGATCAACTTGGAAGTAAGAGGAATGACTTAGGATACAGTTCTTTGATCAGGACAACCTCTTTCTAGCCATGCCTAGAGACCCTTGACCATTGGCCTTTGCTCTTGGCCTAGCCTCTGCCCTGCTCCATCAAGTGTTACAAAGCTATTTAGCTCTGTCAATTACTTTCTCTTGACATATTGCACTGGCTAAAACCTCCAATAAAGTGCCACATGGAAGAGGTAAGAGTGGATATCTTTGTCTTATTCTTGTTCCTAGGGGAAAACACCCAGTCTTTTGCCATTACATATGATGTTAAGTTTTTTATAGATGCTCTTTATCAGATTGAAGAATTCCTTTCTATTCCTAGCATACTAAAAGTTTTTTCATCAGATACATATGTTAGGAGATGGAACAAGGTGATAATGTTGGCAGTTCCTCCAGCTTATCTCTTGGGAACTAATCTACTGGACAAATGGAGAGCTCAGAACTCTGGACTTCAGCTAAAGTGTTGTGAGTCAGGGGTGGCCGAACTAAGGTAGTGGAGGAACAGGGAAGAAGCAGAGCCAACATAGAAATTAGAGATTAACTGCTACCACCCTTGGGACCCTGATTTGTTGATGAGGTATGATTCAAACCGAGAAGAAACAGCTGCAAAAAGCAATTAATCATAGAAAATTGGAATACAGGAAGTATGAATCTAGGAACATTGGAAGTCATTAAAAATGAATTGGAATGCATAAAGGTAGATATTCTAGGTGTTAGTGAGTTGAATGGACTAGTGTTGGTCCTTTTTAGCCAGGAAATCATATGGTTTACTATGCTGGGAATGACACTCACAAGGAATGGTGTTGCATTCATTGTGAAAAAGGACATTTCAAGATATATCTTGAAGTACAATGCTGCCTGTGATAGAATAATCTCTATCCCCATACAAGAAAATCCAATTAATAAATGATTATTCAAATTTATTCACCAATCACTAAAGCTAGTGATGAAGAAATTGTAGGACTCAACCAACTTCTTCGGACTGAAATTGATCAAATATACAATCAAAATGCATTGTTGGGATTGGAATGCAAAATCTGGAAACAAGGAAGGAGGAACGATAGTTGGAAAATGTAGTCTTGGTGGTGGAAACAAAACTGGAGATTGCATGACAGAATTTTTCAAGATCAATGACTTGTTGTTAGCAAATACCTTTTTACAACAATGTGAAAATACCTTTTTTCAACAATGGAATACCATCATTTTTTATGTCAGATGGATTTGGCTCAAAGCCGAGGATACCAGAAAGATGTTTACCTGTCTCTTATTGACTATGCCAAGGCACTCAACTGTGTGAACCATAATAAACTGTGGATAACTTTGAGGAGAATGGGAATTCCAGAACACTTCAATATAGTCATATGGAACTTGGATATGGATCAAGCGGCAGTCATTGAAACAGAACAAAGGAACACTGTCTGGTGTAGAATGAAGAAAGGTGTGTGTCAGGGTTATGTCTTCTCACCATACTTATTCAATCTGACGCTGGGCACATCATCAGAGAAACTGTGTTATATGAATGAGAATGTGGCATCAGGATTGGCGGAAAGCTTATTAGCAACCTGTGGTATGCAGGTTTAAAATGCAACCAAGATGATCAAAAGAGACTAAGGAAGGAGCAACTATTACTGCTATGAAGAAAGGAGAAATGATTTAGGAAATATTAGAACATCATAAGAAGTTAAGGACATTCTGTATGTTTAAAAGTACTTGATATTATTATCAACTGAAGCAATAGAGAAAAATGAAAGTAAGTAAAATTTATTAAATTAAACTCTAAAACATCTAAGACTTTTAACTGAGTATTTTTTTCCTATTATTTATGGCTCCAGGTGTCTTAAAAAACAGTATCCCAAATATCTGCCTACTGCCAGTGTGATTATTTGCTTCCGTAATGAAGAATTTAATGCCCTGTTCCGGGTAATATCAAGTGTCATGGACCTCACCCCACACTACATCCTCGAAGAAATTATTTTAGTAGATGACAAGAGTGATTTCGGTAAGATGAGACACCAATAATTTATCTAATCTATTCTGAAGGCAGCCTCATCTCTTGCAATTACTAAGCTTTTTCACTCAGACCCTGGGGAGTGATGGCTGAGCCAGGCACATGCTGAGTGTTATCAGTGCTCCCAAGACTCGGTCGGGCTCGGGCTGATCTGGTGGTTGGTTATGGCGTCCAAGAGACCAAAGGGAGACAGGCCAACCAAACGGTAGTCTAAAGGATGAATTGCAGTTATCCAGGTGGAGAGTAGGCAAGAGCATTTTAGGTGGAGGAAATATCATTGTATGAAGTCCAGGGGCAAGAAGGAACATGGTGAGTTTCAAATTTGGGGTAAGACTGGAGTGTGGGGAGAGGGCCGGGCGGGGAAAACCCAGAGGTGAAAAGGAACGAGCTGTAACAGAGCACTGTGTGCATTTTATCTAGAGAGAGTGGGGAACTGTCCCAGGACTTAATGCAGAGGAGTGAGGTGATCGATGTACTTTACAAGAAAAAAAACAAGTTTAAAGTACCTTCACCGAGGCCAGAACTCCCATGAGACCATTGGTTAGTGCCCCAATCGATGATGCCTTTTTGGAGTCTATTATCCTCATTTATCCATGGTAGCAATGATATAAATATTGGAAGAGGCTTCCAATGTAAATCCTAAGCCACCGTAAATCTCACTCATGACGAGCTGTGAAGAACAGAATGATGGAAAACACTGGGAGAAGACAAGGAGAGTGCTCCGATGTTCGTTCACCCTGGGGGGACCTGCCTCTGCACACCTCCCAGACGGGGAACAGAACTGAAAGGAATGCGATGATTAGGAATCGTAGGTGCTGGCCGGACACCGACAGCATTCTTTCTCTGGGGCCCCCAGTTCCTCGGCTTGTACATGGGGTCAGGCGTGTTTGTGGAGAATGTCCAAGCTCCCCTCTGGCAGCTGTGGCTCAGATTATTCGGGAACACTGCACAATGTGTTTAGCAACTTGCTAAGCAAGAAATCATCAACAAAGCCAGGAGCAGAGGGGGAGGGGTGGGACTAGACTGGAATTCTAGCATCTTATCCACAAACGTCGGACCCTTCTACAGGTTGACAGTCTCAGGAAGGGTCATAGCCTCTCCTACCCCCACCCTTCAGAACCACATCCGGAGGTGAGAGACCGTTGGGTGACCCGCTCATACAGTCTCTAGGCATTGCCATCGCCCTTCACAAGGGCCTGGGGATCACTGCTGATGACCAATAGAGGGGGGGTCCTTCTCTTCCTTGATCCACCCACCAAGGGACTTAGCCTTTAGCTCATCCAGAACTTCAAACCCCGGAAATGGGGTCTTCTGGCTTCGGATGAAGCACAGGCTAGAGACAATCCTGCATCAGGATTTTGAACTGGTCTGTCTCTCCCTACGGATGCCAGTAAGCACCATGATGCTTTCCCTCAGCTGACGGAGCCAGATCCCGGGCACTGTCCCATGAGTCAGATGAGTAGCGTGCCCGTGGTCCTAGTCCCCAACCACATGGTCATACTTGGAAAAGCCAGCCCGCCGCTTTCTGTACAAGGAGGCAGCTCCCAGCACTTCTTTCATCTCTCAAACATCTCTGTTCACAGATCTCCCTTGTGTTCAGGATTCCGGGACACTGCAAGTGCAGTGTTGGGCTGCCTGCCACAGCCCTTTTTTACAGACAAGCAAAGGGATCTCTCTGCTGCCACCCTACCAATGAGCCTGTCACCCCCCAACCTTCTGATACAGATGTTTGGACCTCAGGTCTCTGAGGCATCTGCGTCCATCTCACCTGACCCCAGCCTCCTCTATGATCATAAACCAGGAACTGGTTGCCATTGGTCAATTCTAACTCATGGTGGCCTCTGTGTGTCATTATAGAACCGACTCAAGAACTGATTTTTTTTTTTTTAGAAACAGATCTTCAGGCCTTTCTTCTGAGGCACCTCCGGGTCAATGCCAAGCTCCCACCTTCAGGTTGGCACCTTTTGTCTCACTCGGGGTCATCATTAACACACGCACGTTCAAATACTGAGGAGCGACCAGGCACCAGGCTGTGTGCCAGGGAGCATATTTCTCCCGCGCACCTCAATCCTGCAAGGAACATAGTGAATTTCCCACCTTGCAGGTGAAGACACTGAGACCTAGCATGGAATGACATCGTATCAAAGAGCCACTGCTATTATAGGGCCACTAACGCAGTTAGGAGAGCAGATTGCTGTGAGGCTCCCTCCAACCTCAGACTCGCCTGGTAACATTTTCCTTAAACTCCAACTTATTGAAATCGACATCTTCGATTGGACCTTAGAAGAAATGTGAACTTTTATGATGAATCCCTTTTCTTTCTCTCCCTCCCTTACACAGGATACGACTTTCTTTTAACATGAGAACTTCTGTAAAGGAGAATCATTTTCAGTCATTAATCACAATTGTGACAGATGGTTCTTTTACTTTTTGTCATAGTTGTTTACAAGTTAACGAGCGTTTCATATTTTCCAGATGATTTGAAAGAAAAACTGGACTATCACCTGGAAGTTTTTCGAGGACATATTAAATTTATAAGAACCAAAAAGAGAGAGGGGCTGATTCGCGCAAAGATGATTGGAGCGGCTCTTGCTTCAGGTATGGGCACCTCACTCAAGACGTGGCCCAGCGTCCATGTCCAGAGGCCTTCCTGGCCACACACGTGGGAATCCACACCAGCCACTCTGTGTCTGCTGGCTTACACCGAAAAGCAGAAATGCACTTCAGCCACCTACATCTCTAATCTTCTTTTGAATCCAACCAATCTACACTGAAACACCAATTTGTTATTTCAAATGGAAACTATTATTTTCCAAGGGCCGTCCTGTTAACCTCCATCACAGGACGGCTTCCCCAGGGTAGGGTGTCTGCAATAGAGTGCAATACACAGGCTGTTGAGTGGGGAGTGCTCGCGGGACAGTGCCTGAAAGGGATACAGAAAGCCCAGATAGAGAAGTGGATGGGGTACAATTCTCCAGAGAAACACTACAGCAAAGAGGGGTGTTAGTTCAGATCCCCTGGGAAGCAGGTGCCAAGACAGACTGACAAGAGAGCATTTATTTGAGGGACATTCTGGTGCATAATAAAGGGGAGGTATTTAGACTTGACCTCTGTCAAGAGAGAGAAAGAAGAAATGAGGTCTGGATTGACAGAACTTCTGATTGCTATCCCGTTCTAAGAAAGGCTCAGTAGATATTGCAAAGAACATGTCTCAGCTCCGAGTCAGAGAGAACACGTAACTGTGATCATCTTAAGAAGGGCTCAGGACCACGAAGAATAGACTGCAGTGACCTAAATCACCGGAACTTCAGATTTAAACACCAGTGGGAGGTTAAGAGGGATCCACAAAATAACCATGACAACAGTCATACTCAATTCAGAGCATATCAACTGTTCTTCTCACTATTCTGGTGGAATAAGAACTTCCTGTCTCTTCAAGTCACACACACCCCATCCCCACCCCCAACCCCTTTGGCCTAAGTGAGGGCATCTCATAGGAGGTAAGTTGGAGGAGAAGAAAAAGGCAGTGATAAGAAGACAGATGGGCTATTTTAATTCAAAAGCAAATAACCTTCCTAAGACATTGAGTGGGTGTGCATGAAATGAGGGAGCATTGATTACAACAAAGGTTGGAAATGCTAACATCTGAACAGAGACTATGTTTTTGACTTAGTATGACTAAGTCTTCTAATTATCCCAGAGTGTTCAGAAAAATTCTGGGGACAGCTGTGCTTTGCATCCATGGGTAAACAGTGCAAGAACAAGATAAAGGTGTTTTCACCAGGAATCCTGTTTGTTCAAGATAGTGGTAAAAGAAATATGCACATTTGCTTACTATAGATGGATAGATTTAAAAAACAGTCATTTTAAATGAGAGGTAAGGTTATATCATTTTTAATGACTAAAATACTGTTGTAAACTATGTGTAAAAATAGTTGTATTTCATATCAAGGGATATAGGATAAAGTCTTCCTTTGCTGTGTGATTTTTATGTTCTTAATGATAGTTTAGCAGTTTTACTGATCTATAATTCACCATACCATACCACTGCTAAATATATATAGCTAAAATGTTTTATTATATCCACAAGGTCATCAGACCATTACTATAATCTAACTTTATAACAGTTCATCATAGACATACATACAAATCTGATAACTATTAACAATCATTTTCCATTCTACCTTATTCCATTCTTCCACCCAAGTTCTAGATAACTACTAATCTATTTTTATCCCCCTAAACAAGAAAGTAAATAAATAACAAACAAAAAGCTATTGCCATTGAGTGAATTCTAATTCATGGAGACCCCATGTATTACAGAGTATATCTTCCCCATAGGGTTTTCTGGCCTGTAATCTTTACAGAAATAAAATTTCAGCCCTTTTTTCCATGGCACAGTTGACTAGTTTGAACCATCAACTTAAAGGTTAGTAATCAAACATAAACCATTTGAGTTCCCTAGAGGTCTTTTTACATATTCTGGCATTTCATTAAATAGTATTACACAATATGTAGTTTTTTGTGTCTGGCTTCTTTCATTTAGCATATTTTCAAATTTCATTCATGTTATAGCATGTGTTAGTACTCTGTTTCTTTTTATGACTAGATGATCATTATATGAATATAAGTATATTGTATATTTTGTTTATCCATTTTCAGTTGAAGGACATCTGGGCTGTTTCCACCTTTTTGGTATTCAGAATAAAGCTTATGTGTGACCATTTGTGTAGAAGATTTCATGTGAATTTAAGTGTTTATGTCTCTTGGGAATATACCTAGTAATAGAATTGCTGGGACATGTGGTAAGCCTATGTTTAAAGAACTGCCAACTGGCTTTCTTAAGTTACTGCACCATTTTATATTCCCATTAGCAATGTGCCTGAGTTCCAATGTATTCGCAGCCAGACCTGCTGTGTTCTTTTTAGTTATAGCCATTCTCATTGGTAGGAAGTGATTCTTCCCTGTAGCTTTGGTTTGCCTTTCTTTCCCTAGTGATGTAAGATGCTGTTTCCTCCCAATAGAACTAAGAGCACCTCGGGTCTGTCTAAATAAGATAGGCTGGATGAACACTCTGGAGGAGAAAACAATGGGGCCGACAGTTCCAGGGGGACATGAGTGAGGGGGAGGTAGAGGGGAAGGCAGTGGTGTTAACAAACCCAGGGACAAGGGAACAAGTGATCCAAATCGGTGGTGAGGAGGATGTAGGAGGTCTGGTAGGGCATGATCAAGGGTAA